GGTCCCCACGGAGCCAGCTTGGCACCAGTCTGGTGGCACAAAGCAGCCTCCAGGCCTGTTTTGCCAATTACTGGAGATTTTTCTGGCACAGGGGAAACTGCTGTGTGGGCAAGAACCAGTATAGCCAGCTCTATGCTACCCCTCCTGCCCACCTCAGCACAGGGGTGTGGCTGAGGTGGAAGGACAAAGGCCTGAGCTGCTGTGTGCAATGCAGTCACTGCATGAGCTCACCTTGAACCAGCCGTGAGGCTGTCTTGAGTTGGGACTGGACTGGCAGAAAGATCCCTCTCCAGCCGCTCGCTCCCAGCTACACCGGGTACTGTAGGGCTGGTCCCAAGGACCTGGCCCAGCAGCTCTTCCAGATTGCAACATTGGGGCTGCTGAGGCCAGTCAAGCTGGAGCTGAAGAGGGGACTGCGAGAATATGTGATGCATGTCAGCTGGGGGGCATAGACAGTGCTGATTCAGCTTCCCCCGAGTCAGCGTTCGGGGGGAGCCCCAGCCAAGCCCAGAGCTGCCTGTGGCTAGGAAGCCCATGCTGAGAGGAGCAGCAAATGCCCAATGGAATAACCCCCCCACCCTCGCTCCCCCTCTGCTTCTCTGCACAATTTCACTAATTAAAATGCTGGAGCCCAGCTGCTGCAGTAATGAAAGAGTTCAGGGGAAGCTCCGCTCGGCAGGGCCCTGCAAGGTATTTGGCCCTGCTCCCAGCCAGTCCTGTAATCATAGCTGACTCAGCAGGCAGCTTGGGCAAAGGTTCAGCCAGCCAGTGTGCTTCCAATTTCCGCTCCAGCCCTGGTGACAGCATGCAGAAGCCTTGGGGGTCTGCCCAACAGAGCAGGTAGCAAGACACGGTCCGGTCCGGGGGCTGCCCTCCCAGATCAGAACACTGGCTTGGGAAAGGCAACTCTACCCCACTCCAGCTCTGCGGGCGGGGGAGTTTGCACACCCTTGTGCTTTGCAATAGTAACTTCTCAGCCTCTCCTCCTGCTAGGGGGCTAGTTAGTTACAACAGGCATCCCAGCCTCTCCACATAATCACTCACTGTTTGTGCTTCTCTCCTCCCCTCACTCTCCTCTTACCTCCCCTTCCTTCAGTGGCTCTTCTCCTCCCTCAGCCTGGGTGTCCTGCAAGGGTCTGTCCTCCTCTTCTCTCTTGACCCCTTGCCTCTGGGGGATCTCATCCACTGACATGGCTTCAGCCATTATCTTTATGCCAGTGACTCAGAACTCTACCTCCCCTCTCCTGACCTGCCTCTCTCCAGCCAATCCACATCTCGTCCTCTCGCTGAGACTGAAACTGATCTCCCCAGCTTCCCTCCCTAACCTTCCCTGTTCCCCCTGTCCTTACTGATCACACCCCCAGTCCCCAACACTCAGGCCTTGGGGTCCTCTTTGACTCCTCCCCCTCTCCTTTGCCCCACCCACCATTGTGGGGTGTCCCAAACATGCTGCTTCTTCCTCTGGATAATATTACCGATTTTGGCACAGGGCTACTTGGGGATGGTAGTTATTGGTTTCATTTACTGATCTGAAATCTACCTATTTTGACTGTATCTGCTATCCCCTTCCCTAACGCAGCCTCGGATATAGATTTATACAATTTTTTGTAAGGCCGGAAGGGACTGTTTGGATATGTTCTCTGACCTACACAGCACAGAGTATAGAAATTGACCTAGTGATTCCTACACTGAGCCAAATAACTTGCAGTTTAACTAAAGCAAGGGGTAACATCTTCATGGCTGCCGCTGCACCGCTGTAATGTTTCAGTATCAACACTCACTGCAGCGAGGGGAGGGGTTCTCCTGTCACTGTAGTTCAGGGTTTCTCAAACTTCATTGCACCGCGACCCCCTTCTGACAACAAAAATGATGACATGACCCCAGGAAGGGGGACTGAAGCCTGAGCCCACCGGAGCCCCGCCACCCTGGGAGAGGGGGCCAATGCCCAAGCCCAAGGGCTTTGGCCCCAGGCGGGGGGCCTGTAACCTGAGCTCTGCTGCCAAGGGCTGAAGCCAAAACCAAAGCCCTGCTCCCCAGGGATGAAGCCTTTGGGCTTCAGCCCCGGGCAGTGTGGCTCGGGCTTTGGCCCCAAGTGGCAGGGCTTGGGCTTTGGCCCTGGGCCCCAGCAAGTCTAAACACCAGCCCTGGTGACCCCATTAAAACGGGGTCGTGACCCACTTTGGGGGCCTGACCCACAGTTTGAGAACCTCTGCTGTAGTTAATTCACACACCCCCCGAGAGGCAGTAGCTAGGTCAATGGAAGAATTCTTGGTTACATCAGCTTAACTACATCACTCGGCGTTGCGGCTTTTTACACCCCTGAGAGATGTAGCTGTGCTGATGTCAGTTCCCGGTGCAGATCAGCCCTGCGTGACCGAGCGGCCAAGTCCCTTTTACACACGTGATTTAAGAGCCTAAGGCCCGGTCTACACCAGAAAATTAGGTCAAACTAATGAAAAATCCACAGCAGTGTAGTGAAGACGACCTAACCTCGTGTGTAGGCAGCACTAGGTCAATGGAAGAATTCTTCCATCGACCTGGCAGCCACCTCTCGGGGAGGTGGATTATCTATGCTGGTGGCAGTATCCTTCCCGTCAGTGTAGATTGCGTCTATACTGAGGATCTCCTGCAGCGTATAAGTGTAGACAAGCCCAGAGTGTGGCTGACTTTCAGTAAGACTCAGAGTACTGAAGCCCAGATCCTCAAGGGTATTTAAGCTCCTAACTTCATTGATTTGCGTGGGAGTTAGGCACCTAAATACCTTTTAAAATCTGGCACTGTCACTTTTGAAATGGGACTTAGGCTCCTAAACCACTCAGATGCCTTTGAAAATGTACTGTCTCTATGTGTGTGTGTGTGGATAGCACCTAGCGTATTGCAGGGGCTACGTGACTACAAATCTGCTGGATCAAAAGGTACGTCTACGGCGGCGTGTAGAGTACAGACACTGCACACCCAGCTAGCATGGGTGTATATAGCGTGTAGATGGTGTGGCATGGCTTAGGCCAGAGGTCAGCAAACTACAGCCCACGGGCCACATCTGGCTCACGGGATCGTCCTGCCCGGCCCTTGAGCTCCCGGCCAGAGAGGCTAGCCCCTGGCCCCTCCGCTGCTGTCCTCCCTCCCCCGCAGCCTCAGCTCGCCGTGTCACCAGCGCTCTGCGTGGCGGGGCTGCGAGCTCCTGCTGGGCAGTGCGGTGGCATGACTGGCTCCAGCCGGCTGGCGCAGCTGCCAGTCCTGCTACTTTGAGTGGCATGGTAAGGGGGCGGGGAGCAAGATTGTTGGATAAGGGGCAGGAGGTCCAGGGGGCAGTCAGGGGACAGGGAACAGGGGGCAGTTGGATGTGGGGGAGGTTCTGGGGGAGGCGGTCAGGGGATGGGGAACAGAGGGGGTTGGATAGGCGTGGGAGTCCCAGGGGGGCCTGTCAGGGGGAAAGGGTGTGGACAGGGGTGAGGGCAGGCGGGGACAGGGAGCAGGGGGGATTGGTTAGGGGGTGGGGTCCTGGGGGAGCAGTTAGGGGCAGGGGGTCCCAGGAGGGGGCAGTCAGGGGACAAGGAGCAGGGGGGTTGGATGGGTCAGAGGTTCTGAGGGGGGCAGTCAGGGGGCGGGAAGTGGGAGGGGGTGGGGTCCAGGCTGTTTGGGGAGGCACAGCCTTCCCTACCTGGCCCTCCATACAATTTCGGAACCCCGATGTGGCCCTCGGGCCAAAAAGTTTGCCCACCCCTAGCTTAGGCAGATTGAGCGCCCTACACGCCTGAATCCCCCCGGGGTACATACCCTACATGGCTCTCTGCACACCCAAGCAGCGACTCCTGTCTACACTGCTGTGTTTAGCAGTGCAGTGTCCCGCGGCCTCCCACCCCTGCCAGAGCCTTTCACTGCGATGTGTAGTCACACGCTGCAATGACAAGTGGGGGTGCAGCCCGCCTTTCACTGCGGCATGATGGTACTCGACACGCCACCATAAGTGTGGACATAGCCAAAGAGAGACCCAAGGGTTCACTGCAACGGGCACAGAGTTGCCATGTGCGTCTGCGATCTCTCTTTCAGCGAGTGGCTGGGTCTATTCAGGTCTCTCCCAAAACTCCACGCTGCTCTATTTCTCCAGTCTCCAAAGGCTCAAGAATTCCCTTGGCAATGCACAAAAAATGCTGGAGTGTGCATTTAAAAAATGCCTTTGCAATGACTGGAGCCTGCCAAGCCCCGCTCTCCTCAGACTGTTTTCGACTGAAGATGATGCCGGTCCGAGGGAAGCTGGCCACATCTGGTGCTCAGCTGGGCTGCCTCGGAGAGACACATGGTTTGGGTTTGGACACTTCAGACCTCCTTTTTCTGGTACAGGATTCGTGATCTCAGTAGAGCTATAGATCACACACGGCACCTCAGTGCACAAAGCCCTGACCGTGGAAGAGTTCCGGGAGGATTTCACTGGAGAAGCTCTGGCTAATAGCACTAATACTGTGAGCGTTTAGGGGGTCTTTTATTTGTGAGTCTCAAAGCACTTTACAAATATTAACTCATTAAACCCCGGAACACCCTCAGGCCCGCTCCTGCATTCCTCACACATTCACACTCTCCACAGTCACTGGGCTGGACTCCCAGCATAGCTCTACCGGAGTCCTTGGAGCATCGCTGATTTACACCAGCTGGGGCTCCTCCTGGGCGTTGTGATTGTGTAAGCAATGCAGGATCAGACCCCCTGTGGTGTAGTTATTATCCCCATTGTACAGCTTTGGGAACTGAGGCATAGAGAGCAGAAGGGACTTGCCCTTGGTACGAGAGTGGAAGAACCAGAAATAGAATCCAGGCATCCTGGCTCCTGCTTCCCCGGATTTAACCATTAGACACAGTCAATCTATCCTGAGAGCTGTGACCTGTTTGTTTATCCTCATTATAGGAAAGACAAAGCCTTCTAAATGCCCCCCAATTTCAAAATCCTAGGGGTGCTACACATGCCTCCCCTTTCCCACCCTGAGCTTCCAAATAGGCACATGACTTACCGTAAGCATGTGGCCGGCGTCCCACCTGCTCCTGTACAGGAGTATTCCATGGTCAGGATTTTATTCTCGGGACAAGATTTGCTGCAGGAAAGATGAAGGAAGAGTTTAAGTCTAGTTTGTTCCTTCCAGATCAGATTGCAGGCTGCCTTGGTTCACAAAGCCATCGCAGCCTGTCCCACCTGAGTGTCATAGGCACGTGTCAGACCAGTAGACATGGCTTGGTGGTTTTTGCTCACTGGTCTCGGGTCTGGAGTGACATGAGGGCCTTAAGGTTGTATTTGTCAGAATTAACCGTCCCTCCAAACAGACCACATCACAGGCAAGTGCCCTTGGATACTTGTGACCTGAGACGCTAGTCAAATTTTGGTGCCCTGGGGATGTTCCAGTCGGAAGTAGGACTTGATGGAGCCTGGTATTTTCTTTGATGCATTTCTCTCAAATCTCCAGCTTTTTCCAGGGTCAAACTATACTCAGAGGCCACACTGAGGTCTTGTCTACACTACAAAGAGAGGTCGACCTAAGTTAGGTCGATGTACAGCCACCACAGTAATTACTGCCGTGATTTATGTCCACACTATGCCCCCTCTGTTGGTGGTGCATGTCCTCATCAGGAGCGCTTCCACCGATTTAACTGACAGTGTGGGGCATTGCGGGGCACTGACTGCCTGGAGACCCCCACTGGGGCTGACAGCTGGAGCTCCCCCTCTCGACTGACAGCTGGAGCCCTGCCACTGAGCTGCCAGCCCCGGCTTGGCGGGAATCTGGCTGTCAGCCCTGGTAGCAGGGCGGCTTGGGCTGTCAACTCTATGCTCACATCGCCTGTTGCTGCCTTTGACAGCCTGATCTCTCAGCCCCACATGAGGCTGAGAGCTCAGGCTGCCAAAGGCAGCAACAGGCGATGTGAGCAGTGCAGGGGGTACACGGACACTGCGTCACCCTCACTGCGTCGACCTAAGCGCTATGCCTCTCGCGGAGGTGGAGCGATTAGGTGGGTGTAGTGGGCATCTTACATCGGCGGGAGAAATGTTGTAGACACTTGCAGTGTTAAGTTGACGTAAGCTGCCTTATGGTGACCCATCTCTGTAGTGCAGACCAGGCCCTAGGCTTTCTTGTTTTTTCCCTCTCTGTTCTTGGTTCTGTCCTCAGTTTCAGTGTGTTCTCTTGCACACCCATACAAACCTACCCCAAACAATACTCAGCCCAGAAGCGCCTGGATGGCTTCACACACACCTTTTGTCTTAGGTGGCATTTATGTTTACAGTTATGTTAACAGAAGGATGAGTTCACACCTACCAACCTCAATGAGCTTTTAACCCAACCCATGATTAGGTTTCACCCAGTTTATAACAATATGCTGCTCTTGGCCAGGGCTCCTAGCCAGTGGCATGCCGGGGGGGGGGGGAAGGGGGGGGGTCTAATGGCCTGGAAAACCACACAGACTCATGCCGTGTGGTGGTTTGGGAGCTGGGTAAGGCGGAGTGCTCCTGTGTCGGGGGAGGAGAGGAAGTTGTCCTGCGGCTGTGGGTAGGAGCCTTGGCAGCACTGGCCCCATCAACACAACTGGTGTATCTGAAACATCTTTTGCAGATATTTTTTTGACAGGCATAAGGTGATGTGTCATTGCTTCCAGTTAGTCCATTGTGCAACACCAGGAAAAACAATTTACTTGGAGGCTCCACAAAACATGCGGGAGGGGATTTAAGGTCGGCGCCTCAGCTGCTGAACATTGGCATAGTTCCACTGACGTCAACAGAGCGAGCGTGCCCATTTATGCCGGCGGAGGATCTGGCCCTTAGAAAATACTTTGGTGCTTATGTCCTTAGCTATAAACCATTCTGCTCAGACAGGCTGTCTGTCTGTCTTGAAGGTGAGTCAGATCTTTCTCTCTCTCTCGTTCTGCAGCACCGAACATGTTAACAAAACAGATGGGCCTGATCTGGGGCCTGACTCTTATCCCCAGGTTGACACTGGTGTAGTCCCACTGACTGTAAGGGAGTTATGCCTGATTTACCCCCCTGTAAGTGAGAAGAGAATCAAAGCCCAAACCTGAAGTCCTTCCTCCCTCAGAATTCCCACGGGGTCAGATTCAGACCTGATGGAAGCAGCTGCAGTGTCAGTGGGGTCAATAGAGTTAGTCCTTCTTAAACCAGGCTGGAACTCAGCTCCCTGACCTCAGTTACAAATGCTGAAGGGGTAAGTAAAGGTGTCTGTGTGTGAAGCCTGTTCCAAGCATGCCTTCAGGGGGACAAGAACCACATGGCCCCGGGATTCTTCCTCCACCGGCTGGGCAAAGGCATGTGGTAATCCAGATACTGGAAGCTGCAGTAGCTTTTGATTATAAACTCTTTGGGGCAAGGGCTGTCTTCAGACATGTCTGTACAGCCCTTAACACAATGGGGCCACACTGAGCTCAGTTTATTCCAGTCCCCCATTTGTCCACATTACAGAGCAACCACACACCTTGGCACGATTGTCAGTCCGTGCTGCACTCTCATGCTGTCAGGCCAGACTGAGCTGCAGAGGGGGTCTGGGGCTCTGAGCTGCAGAGGGGGTCTGGGGATTAGTAACAGGGAATGGATCCCTTCATTGCCAGATCATTAGTTCAGCGCTGGCCCAGGTTGCGAGCGCTGAAAGTCATTTACCAGCTGAGGGCTGCTCGGTGGCTTGTGCGAAATGGGTCCAGTTCCTTGGGCACAACTGCCAAATGCAATTAACGCTAATGGGCAAGCCCTTGGTGGCCCTCCCAGAAGAGAAGCTAGGGATTGAATACACCATGGAGACTGAACTCTTTCTTCTCTCCTCAGGCAAGAGATGGGGAAGCTCTTGCTGCCAGGACCCATGCTGGGCCTGCCCTGTGGACAAATCCACAGAGGACTGTCATCTACAGGGCTATTGTCAGTCCAGCACGAAATGCACCTTTAAACAAAAAACACACAAAGGATTGACCTACAGTGAAAGAGCTGCAATATGGCCCAGGCCTGGAATAGCAGAGGGGCTGCAGGTGAGGATGGGGGCACTGGCAGTCCTGGGGGTGGGGGCGCTCCGGGACTGGAATAGAGGGTGGGGGGCTGCAGGTGAGGATGGGGGCACTGGCAGAGCTGGGGGAGGGGGGGCTCCGGGACTGGAATAGCAGATGCTGGCTCAGCTCCAGGAGCTCAGTGGCTCTGAGGACAAGTGGCAAGCGCCGGGCGTCAGAGACCTGTGCAGGCAGAGTCCCGTGGGGCTCGCCAAGGGCGGGCTGCTGGCGCTGGGGCGCGCTGGGGCGCCGGGAGCCGGCGAAGGGGAAAGGCGGGGGTGCCGGCTCGTGGCAGAGATGCGGCGCCCGGCCCGTGGCGCTGCTTACGGGAAGGAGCCGTTCGAGCTTCCCACGCCGGGCCCGAGCGCAGACCTGCGGGGGCGTTCGCCAGGCGGAGCAGGGAGCAGGCTCGGCTGCTGTGGGGCGGGCGGCTCCCGCACTGCGTCCCCGATCTCCTCCCCGGCGGGAGCCCAGGGCTTGCCTCTGCGCCCGGCCCTCGCCCCGCAGCCCCCAGCTGCGCTGGTTCAGTGACAGCCCCCAAGCGCCCCGCATCTCACCTCTTCTGATCCCCGGAGAGCGGCGGGAAGGGTCCGGAGAGCAGGGAAGCGAAGAGCAGCTCGGCTTCCAGCAGGCGCAGCATCGCCCTGGACTCCCGTCCCGTCCGGGCTCCTCCCGACCGCAGCCCCTCAGAGCCGGGCCATGCGGGACCCCGCAAGGGGCTGGCGGCTCTGGGACAGCTCGGCCTCTCCCGCTGCTCCCCCGGGCCGAGCTCCCCTGCCCGGCAGCCCGGCGCCCAGACGCGGCTCCCCGTCCCTGCGCAGGGTGCCCGCAGCTCCGCTCTCTCCTCCTCGATCTGCCCCTCTGACTCCGCCGCCCTGCAGCGACGCTCCCGGCTCTCTGGCCCGAAGACAGAGTTCAGCCCCTCCTCGGATCCCTGCCCCTTCCCTCCGCTCGCCGCTTCGCCCTCGCCTTTTGTGTCCTGGCCGAGAGCCCCCTCTCCTGGTGCCAAAGGCTGCGTCCCTTCCCACCAAGACCTGCCCAGCGCCCGCAGCTTCTTGCCCAGGGCCGCCAGCTCTCCCTGGAGCATCCTTCTTCTGCCAGCCCAGCCCAGATCTTGTTTAATCTCCAGGAGCTCTCCGAAGTCGTGCCTGGATCTTGCTACAACCTAACCCTCTCCCCATGCGGGAGACCGGTGATGGGCAACTAAACAGGGAACTGCCCAGAGATTATGGGCCCCAACAGGGCATGTACAGTTAACAGGGGGCCAAAACCACTTAGAGTGGGAGTAGAGACTAGCACTGAGGGAGGAAGGGTAGCACCTTTTCACCCCCTTTAGGGCCCCTTGCCAGAGCAGTGTAAAGGGATCTTTGGGGAACTGGGAGTCAGGCCCTGTTTATTCACCCAGCACAGGCATTGGACATGGCGCTATGGAGAGGAATGGACTATGAAGGGCCTGGTTCTCCTTTCCCAGGGGTGTAAATCAGGCCACACTCCCCTGGAGTTGGTGGAATTCCACCCCTGTCTGGGCAGGCGGGGGAGGTACAAACCTCCCAAGGTCAGCTCGGAGCACCTTGCCCATCATTTGAAACTAGGAGACCAGGATGGCAAACATCAGCTCACTCCTTCCACCAGCCAGGGGCATGCAATCAAACACCAACACCTCCATGGCCCAGCCTCCATCCCCTGTCTCTCTGCAAAGGCCAGCTGAATCAAATGGGCCCTGTCCTTGACCAGTCTGGGCTATTCTGGACTAGGGACGGGAGGGAATTCCACAGCCCCTGGAGCCCTCATGGAGAATGCCCTGCCAGCTGCCATCCCACCGTCAACTCTAAGCATCAGTCTCCTAAAAGAAGTGGGGGAAGTTTCCTCTCTGGAGGAATTTAAAATAGGTCTGAACAAAACATTGAGAAGAATCCTGTGCTGGAAGGGAGATCGACTGAACGATCTTCAGTCCACAGGCCAGATTGACAGCAGGTGTAACTCAGCCTTGCTCCATAAACTTCAATGGTGTGATGCCAATTTACACCAATTGAGGATCTGACCCCTGAGCTTTTATGGGCCAGCTTCTGATGCCAGTTACACCAGTATATCAGACGCTGGCCCTAGTCTCTCCCCTTCTGGAGGCTGATTGTGACATAAGTGGAGTTTACACCTGAAGCTATTTCAAGGTCACAAACCTTACAAAGAGCAATGGGAAAGCTGTTGGCATCCGAGGCAGTGCTTGTTGACCTGCGCAGCTGCCTTTGGCATAGCTGTGTTGAGTTCATGAACCCTTCCCCTGTAACTTAAACCCAGGGATCTTTAAAGGGTGATTCCATTTAAAAACCCAACTAACTTGTTTTGCTAGCTAAGGAGTAACCTGTGCTGTCTATTTAGGACACATTCTGCCACCCAATGCATAGGAGTGATGCCTGCAACAGAGGGGCTGCATTGGTTGAGTCATTGGTATTTTTCTCTTGCCCTTGCTGTGCACCTTCCACCCCCACCCCACCCCCTTCCCCATATTTGCTTCTCACTCTGCCCACTCTTGGCTCTGTTTTTTCCTCCCTTCGCTTTTTCTCATTGTCTAGCCTAAGTAGGATGTGAGCCTGATAAAGTTTGTGATCAAATCAAACCTACACACCCACGGTATCTGCTTGGCTTTGAAATTAGGCAAAAGGACCTCCTCCGTCCCTAGTCACAAGCCAGTTCATTCATCCCCAAGGATTTTGTAGGATGAAAGATATCACTCCACCAAAGGAACACCATGGGAGTCTCTAGATTGAGACAAATGAAACTCATCTCATGAGTGAGAAATCTAAGCCAGGAGCCTCAGGATGCTTTCCCAGATTAGAGAAAGTTGGACATAGGATAAATGCCAGTAAGAGATGGTTATGAATCAGTGGTTCTCAACTGTTTCTATACCATGCACTCAGATGACATCAGAAAAAAGTTACAAGACTTCCCTTCCATAAAATTCCTTATCCCATCCCATCCAGCCATAAAGCATGGGAGGAGATCATGCCCCCCCCAATACGTCTTTGTGACCCCGTGCAGTCGCAGCCCCCAAGAATGAGATAGTTAAGGCAGGTAACCCAGGACTCTGGGGACCTTGTGTCCGTGCTGAGGGAAAGCGCTGTTTATAAACCCTAAACCCTGCTCCAGTTGCAGTCAATGGCTGTCAGTCAAAGCAGGATTGGGTGCCCAGGAGCCCTGGGACTTTGAATCTTGGAATCAATGCAGGTCTTAAAAACAAACCTCAAAGCCTGTGCCAGGTTCATGTGTCAGACAGGGGTGTGAAGGAGGGTGGGGGGAACAGATGACTGAGCGGTGTGGGGGGGGTTCAGTTGCAGCACTGGATGCAGCACAGGTGGCAGGAATGCCAAAAGCTGCCTGGGGCCAGATCCTGAGCTGGTGTAAACTGGTGTAGTAGCTCCATCAAACCCCTGCATGTCTGTGGGCTAAAGCTGGGTCCCGTCAGCTCTAGGCAACTCTGAGGTAGGCATGTGAAATTTAAACCGGGGCAGGGACCAGGAGAGCAGCTTCACAGAGCCATGAGAAGCTTGGGTGGGAGCCTCTCACTTCCCTCCCGTTGGGCTCTCCTGAAGATCAATAACCCTGTTTTTTCAAACTCTGCTTTCGCTGAATCAATGGTGAAACCCCCAGAGATGGTTGGCAGAGTTCGGCCAGTGCTAGGCCCCTTTGAAAATCCCACCCTCTTCACAGGGAAAATAGGGCCTTTCTGGATTTGGAGCCAAAACTGTAGGGACAGATTTGGATCCTGGCATGTGAATCCTGCATCCCTGAAGTTTGAAGCAGGCTGGGATTTGAGGTTCTGGTTTTACCAACCTCTTAATCAGAGCCACAGTTCTAAAAGAAAGAGAGAGGATAGTTCATGTGATACCCTGATCAGTGCTGTTCCCCCCAACCCCTAACTCCTGGGATCCCTGCTTTCCACTCCCTAGCTCAAACCGCTCCAGCAGAATTCTCCTGCTTATGTCGTTCCCCCCACCACCACCACCCCCGACCGCGGGTTTCTGGAGAGTGTTCCGTACCAGAGGGCGATCAGAGAGCGGCCTGGCACAGCAGGCTGGCTGTCACACACAGGCACTGTCCTTTCTTTCTGGGATGTGATGCAGCCTTGGTGGCAGAATACCAGAGCAGAGATCAGGTTTCAGAGTAGCAGCGGTGTTAGTCTGTATCCGCAAAAAGAAAAGGAGGACTTGTGGCACCTTAGAGACTGCAATTCTCAACTTAACTTCAGGTGGCACTGCTATCCCATTTCCTTCTGAGGAAGAGCTGATTTCTAAGCACCCATTAGCTATCCAGAGGTCTTTATCAATCATGTAATAACCAGCTAGAGATGCTGCAGAGACACCCTGGAAAGTCCAGCCTTTAGCTGGTCAGGTGATGACTGGTGCATGTGGGTGAATGTGTTCTTAAGTCTAAAATGATCCAGATGGTTCTTTTCATTGTACATTGTTGACAGAGCTGGAGGTAAAGGAACTGATTTCTGATTGCTTGTCCAAACCCAGTGCCCAGAACAACGGACATCCTGCAAGTATTTTTACTGAGCCTGCAAAAAATGTTTCCAGGCCTCATGAGCTGCAACATATTTGTGTTTGCAGCATGGTTCTTGCCCAGTTCCTTTTCAGGATTCCTGCTTCTTTTTAAATCTATAACTGCCATTGTGGAATTCTCCCCCCCCCCCCAAGTGCAGGGCATTTCTCAAGTCAGCATATAGACAATCTAAGGGTTCTATGCTGTTCTCTGGTGTAGGGGCATGATGAGGTTCTGCCCAAGAGAAGGAAGGAGGGTGGATCTTGCTAGGGCAGGGTGTAGGCATGCAGGGCTCAAAATTTCAGCCATCCTGGGCAGGTGAAATAATCCATAAAGGGTCAGTCAAAGTTAGTGTAAATTAGAGCAGCCACTGGGCATCTCGACACCTTGTAATCTCATTTGCAAACACACATTCAGCTATTATATCCATGCTGACAACTCCCAGATCTACTTCTTTACTCCAGACCTGCCTTCTTTGGTCCCAACAAAAACCTCAACCTGTCTGTCTGACTTCTCATGGAGGTTGAGCCATCAGCTTAGCTCAAACACAACCAAAACAGAACTCCGAATCTTTCCCCCCAACTTCTCCCCTCTTCCTTCTTTCTCAATCACTAATGCAGACAACATCACCACCCTGCCTGCCACTTACCTCCGTAAACTGGGTGTCATCCTCAACTTGGCCCTTTCTCTCAATCCTCACAACCAGGAGGTGCCTGCATCTTGTCGATTTTTTCTGCATAGCATCTCTAAGATACGACCTTGTGGTCTTCCCATCAGTACAGCTAAAACTCCCATCCAGGTGCTTATCATCGCATGTCTCAGTTCCTGCAACATCCTGTTCTCTGGCCTTGACAAAAGCAGTCAGCATGCTGCTGCAAGGATCATTTCCCTAGCTTGCCACTTTGTGTGTGTCTCCCCTCTCTTGGCATCCCTCCCCCAGCCCCTCCATCTCTATCACTTTCTCTCCTGCTGCCCGTCATGCATTGTCTTCCTCCAAATCCCTCCTTTGCCATAACGCCAGTGCCTACAAGAAACTTGACAGTGGTTAAGCTGCTGATGTGCTGAGACTACTGCCTATCATACTGTCTCATTGTTTCCTTGTACTCCCCCATCTGTCTGCCTGTCTCCATCTGTTGCTTGTCTTATAGTTAGGTTGTAAGTTCTTTGGGGCAGGGACTGTCTGTTTGTTCTGTATACTGCCTGGCACAATGGGGTACTGGTCCGTGACTGGGGCTCTGAGGTTCTACCACAATACAAATAATAAATCGTAATGATAATAATAATTGACAGCTCAGAATCTGGACCATGAAACTTCAATCATGCCACAGAATGCAACATCAGTTACAGATTCTCACCCCCACTTTCTCAGTTTATCTTCCCTGGGCCATTGTGGTTCCATTTGAAAGTGATCAGCAACAAAACTTGGAATGCAAATGGCCTTTCCTGTCTCATCTGGTCTCTAGAATGGCACTGTTCCCAGTTGCCCCGCTAGGATTGATCAAGCACAAGCTGCAAAGGAGCCAGAGCATCCAGGCCGGCCATCACATTCCCTGCAAATGTGGCAGGCCCTATGGGGAGTCACATCTAGCCCATGTTCCCACCCTATTGGCCTCTATAACGCCTGGGGGCCATAATGTCTATTTGCACCTGTCCATGTTTTGGGCTTGTTCCATCACCGGTTTTGAATGGATCCACCCTGCATGAGGAGGCATGAAGGCTGCAGGAGGGTGGGGATCACGCTGTGCTATGCCCTCACCCTCATGTTGAAAATGTTGTGATGTGGGGGTGACTGTCCTGTTCTGCAGCCACTGCCAGGTCAACTCTGGGCTGGTAGTCTGTGACATATGCTAGCTCAGGGAGGGAAGACGCTGGTGTGCTTTTGACTGCGCTGCTTTTGACGACTGAATATCTTGTTGCCTGGTTGTTTCCTTTGTGCTTTTCACCTAACAGGTTTCTTCTCTTGCTCTCTTTTTGTTCCTGAGATGGAACCGGGACTGGCCTGGTTCCTTAAGGGAAGCTGCGGGGCGGGGAGAAGATCCAGCTGGACCCTTGTCAGTTCCACCACATTGTTCCTGTCCCAGTTCATAGTGTGTACAGATCAAAGGGGAGGGGAGAAGCACTGGGTCCTGGAGAGGCCCAGGGAGGAAAGGAGAAAGCTGAAGATCCTCGTCAGTAGTGTCTCCTGTTTTGCTTTCTCTTTCAAATCTCAGGAGTCTGGTAGGTGGAAGGTTGGCAGCAGGTTCTGCCCTGGGAAGAATCAAGAGTCTCCTCCCCACCCAGTGAGGCAGGTGTGGTAGTGGCCAGGTGAGAGGGGATGGAGTAGGAAAGACCCAGTACTTACTCTAGCAATTGGGCTCTCTCTGCTTAGACGATTGGACCTGCTGCGCTCCTCAGCTCCTGCCACAGAGTCCTCTGATGGGGGGGCTGTTGGTGGGGCCCCCAGCAGTTAATATGGGAGGTAACAGCCTACTGAGATGCACAGGACAGCTCACCCTTCTAAGAGCTATTGTTTGAGGCTGTCTGAATACTCAGGTGTTTTTGGGCTTTTCTTCAAAACCATGATGGCTAGACACGTCCTCTTATTTGGAATGAAAGCTAAAATTCTGACTATCACATGATTCCAGGAGCTGGTGCCCTAGATACCAGGTTATAGAGCTTATGTCTTTATACAGCCCTGCCTTGGACCAAGACTGCTGTTGAGCTATGGTCCAGGATTTAATACAACAATCCCTAAACCTCGGATCAGTGCCATTTTCAATCCCTGTAATGCTTAACTGCACCTGCTGTTCTACAGTGCCTGTCCTGTGTAAGACTTTGTCCCCGCTGGAGATGTGGAAGTCCCATTGTCTTGTCTATTAAATGATCTTGGTGCACTTTTGCTTTGTGATCTGCCTCCAAATCACATTGTCACAACCCACACAATGCAGGGGTCATTCAAATGGAGAATGGGGCCTTTGGGGGAGTGTCAGGGAGTGGACAATTTATACACATTTTGTTCAGTGACAGCGGAGACAGCATTTTTGGCTGTTTCCTTCTGTGAAGGGCGTGAACACCTGCCACAGAGGAAGCCAATGGTTACACAGTGAAAACCAGAAGCTTGTAGTTTTCATTTCCGCTGGAGTTATTTCAGCTTCCCTTTGCTCTAGCACTGACAAAAGCCTGACTAACTGATCACCCAATCACCAAATCACAATTCCGCCCATGTATGCGCATGCATGTGTAAGCATATATATAGACTCATGTACTGGTTTTACTTCTTCTTTTGGCTGCTGTGTGCTGTTGCCAGTTGCAGGAAGAGCAGCAGTTGCTGATATTTCTATTGCCCTTCGCCACTCCCTGATAATACATCTTGGGAGACAGAGTCAACTGACTGGTGCCTCAATGTGTCCTAATTATGCCACATCCAGGAAGTCTGGAATGTGTTTGCCTATTTAATCAGGGCCTGATCTGACTCCCACTGTCTTTAATGGGAGCCGGCGCAGGCCTTGGATTGGATTGTTAGTGACTCATCAATATCCCTTGTTCGCTTATTTAAAAGAATCAAACCAATGAAGCTTCTAGTTAAACGCTTAGTTCCAGCTTATGGAGTCTGTACTCACACTGGCGAGCACTTACTTATGTGAGTAATCATCTGACTTCAGTGGGCTTGCTTGAGTGAGCAACTGCTCAGCAGGATGAATCAGGGCTTTACAATTTGTCCCTTAGCTTATAGCATATGCAACCAACAATGGTTCCATTTTGTTACCTTTGTTGTCATCCCTTGCATTCTACACCACCCTGTTGTACCTTGTCTCTATACTGACCACTCTTTGCAGCAGGGATTGTATGATTGTATGTTGGTAGGGCACCTAGCACAGTGATTTGATCCTAATTGGGGTCTCCAGGAGCTACTGTAATGCACACTAGAGATATAATAATAATAATTAATAATAATTAATAATAAATACTATAATAATAATATCTAGAAACTAACTGCTATAGGATGAGGGTCTCCACCTCCTGTCTGGAGCCATCAGAACCTCTCACTGTCAAACAGCCCCACAAAACAAGTCATCATCACCTCCATCCTCCTATATGTGATGGGTCAGATAGAACTTCCTCAGAGTCCATTAATGGAACGTCTTCATTGGCCAGGGGAGTTCACTATTGAGTGGCAGGAGGTGTTCCCTTCCCCAGCCCTTGGACTTTGCAGCACCTCTCCCTCCTCTCCTGCTTGCCCAAGGAGCAAGAAGCCCCAATGACGCCAGCGTGGATTAGCTGAAATGCTAGTTCTGTTGAGTGGGTCTGAGTTGATGCGGGGAAGTCCAGAAACAATTTGTTTCCAGACAGTTGTATAGCTCAGAGACTCTGAGGCCAGAAGGGACCATTACAATCATCTAGCCTGAACTGCATAACGCAGGCCAGGGAACCTCACCCAGTAATTTCTGCGTCAGGCAGAAAGGAGAAGCCGTCAAATTGTTTCATAGTGTCGCCCTGAACCGAACACCTCCCTTCCCATTCACTAGCACACAGATCACACACCTGCTCATCCCCAATTGGACGAACCCCCATCCCCCCACCCCCTTCCCAGTTGCACAGACCACTTCCTTTCCTACTCACGGTTACATAATGGTGGCCACTACAGTGATGAACATGTAACATTAAGAAGGTAGTTAATGTACAAGTCCTCCTGGTAATGCAACACAGCAGCTGGAAACAAAGAGGTGAAGCCAGCATCAAGTGATTAGCCAGCTGTTCGTGGACCTTCCAGCAAGTGGTCTATGGTGAGACCCCAAACAGTGAGTTCTTGTACTGCTTTGAGGGGCTGCAGCCCCAATCCTGTCTTCTGATATACCCAAGACAAACCTGTGTCACTCCCTTGGAAGACCGTGTGTTCATATCCGAGCCCAGGACTGGGCTAGTTGGGCCAGATTCTCACTGAACTGTAATGTACTTCCACTTTAGATTCTTTATTCTGCCAGTATTATTATTACTATTGTGGTAGCACGTAGGAGCCCCAGTCTTGGTCCAGGACTCCACAGTGCTTGCACTGTACAAACATAAATCAAAAGCAGAGTGTAAAGGGTCCTCAGTGTAAATCGTAGAATTGTAGGACTGGAAGGGACCTCGAGAGGTCATCTAGACCAGTCCCTGGCACTCATGGCAGGACTAAGTATTATCTAGAGTAGACCATTGGTTCTCAAGCAGGGATCCGAGGCCCCAAGGGGGTCTGTGAGGAGGTTTCAGGGGTCCACAAAAATAAACCAGAGAGCAGGGCTGGTGTTAGAGTTGCTGGGGTTCAGGGCAGAAAGCCCAAGCCCAACCCCTGCCACATGGGGCTGAAGCCAAAGCCTGAGCATCTTCGTTTCGTGGGGGCCGGGGATTCCTGTGGCCTTGTGCTTGGGCAGTTGCCCTCCTTGCTACCCACTAACGCCAGCCCTGGCTTTTAATCTACTGACTATGCAGAACAATTGTTGTGGCACAGGTGGGCCGTGGAGTTTTTATAGCACGTTGGGGGAAGGGGGCTCAGAACCCCTGATCTAGACCATCCCCAACAGGTGTTTGTCTAACCTGCTCTTAAAATCTGGTCACAATTTCCCTAGGCAATTTATTCCAGTGCTCGGTTCATCATTTTTAACCTGACCTTATGACAAATCTAGGTTATTTTCTTTAACCATTTCATCTAAACTCCCAGGTTGCAGCCACACCATGTTTATTTCTGATCACATCAGCACAACAATTCTGTACATAATAATCATTTGATACATATACAATGCCTTTAACCCAGCATGTGTCCAAAGCAATTTAAAAACCAATCTGCAAACAATGCACATGTTATTTCATGTTCCATAGCACACAGCAACAGTATGTTGCAATTTAGGACAAGAAGCGACAGATCCCTTTACTTTCCTGCATTGAATCTGTAGATGATTTAGGGTGTCACAATGTACTTATCTGAGGCGCAGCTTGGCCAGGACAAACGGGATAACAGGTCTAATTTTCGAAAGGGCTGTGTGGGACCTTACTGATTACATGGGGTCCAAAGCGCAGCTTTACATCTCATCAGAACATGAAGCCTCTCATAGCACAATGCCCGTTAGCACCAGGCTGGGGCTTTGGTTCAGTACTGAATCAAAGGGATGGGTTCCCCATGACTGAATTGCCAGCACCGCTGTGTGCAGCACCTTGGCTTTTTATTGGGAGTTTCACATCCCAAATGCTGAGCTGGCCTGATCCGATGTTGCTCATGAGAACATGCAGCACAAGATGGGACAGCTTCAGGCTTTGCTCTTTTCAGAATCAACTGACTCTCTGGGAAATTGGATTAAATGTGTATGTATCTCTTTGGATTTTGTGGCTTCTTATGGAGGGTCTCTGGGGTTGAGAGCCAAGGTTGTCTGTTGGACTGTCCTGATGTTGAGGGGATTCTCCTGATTTTGAGGTGGCCGTCCCATGACCTTGAAGTTGGGCTTAGAAACCTTTTAAAGTGCCCTGAAATGTATTGTGGGCTGGTGCAATGCATTGAGACACTTTATCACGACATGATGTGGCAACCCCAGGGATCATGCATGAGTCCATGCTAGTACAGTGCTTTGAAGGTGAAAGGTGCTATGGAAATGCCAATAGGCTCCTCTGCCAACCATACACGGATGACATCCATCCCTGTAGCATGTGCATCAGCTGCAGACAGTGATGTTTCTCAGACATCACAGTGCCTGAGTGAGGGAAGTTTGTGGGTGAGAAGTGGAGCTGGCTCAGGCTCAGTGCAGGGAAAACAGAAATGATACTGGTAGGAAGGGAGAAGTTCTTTGAGGAAATAGAAGCAGCTATGACATCTGATGTGGAGGTAGGTATTTACTCTCTGACTGACCTGATTGCCAAGGTGGTGCACAATAATATCCTATTATTATTTATTTGTATTTACAGTAGCACTTAGAATCCCCAGTCAAGAACATTGGCCCCATTGTGGTACAAACACTGATAGCTAAGGTACTCATAGATTACTAGTATCCTCCCCTTCCCTCCCTGGTCTGTTTATTAAGCTCTTTGGAGCTGGGACTCTGTTTTGCTATTTTTGGAGAGAGCTTAGCACAATGCGGCTCCCATTCCGGCGGCTACAGTAATAATAAATAATAATAAAATTATAATAATAATAAAGAATCCTTGACGCTCAAATAGCAGGTGTAGCCAGAAATGCCTGTTTCCACCTTCGGTTAGCTAAAAGGCTGCATTTCTTCCTCCCAGTCTCAGACCTAGCCACTCTGATCCATGTCTTTGTCACCATCCAGGCTGGGCAGAAGCAACCGTGGTCGGCTTTGCAGGACCACACTAGATTGAGGAAAGCACATCACACCAGCGCTCCGAACTCCGTATTGGCTCCCTTGCCAGTTCCCGGTATTGGCCTCTAGGACGTAGTATTATTCTTCAAAGCCCTAAAAAAGTTATGGGGAGCCTGTCTCTTGCTGCTCCCGTGTGACAGCTGTGGTCAGCAGAGGTGCTGCAGTTGAAGGAGTCCAGAATGAAGGCCTTGGAGTTGGACTGTGGCATTCCCAACCACCAAAGATCAGTGTGAGCCACCATTAGGACACGCCCTCTGGGCAAGACGCCTGTCGCTGACAAGGGCTGTAGAATAGCTGATCTCCCACGTGGAGACAAAAGGAGAACACCACACTTCAAGAAGCAGCATCACCCACGAAGAATACAGTCCTTTCAGATGGACCCAATGTGGTTTAAAACGTGTGTATAAGGTGCCTACATACCACAGCGACGGGCACATTCAGACGCTCCGAGATGGATTTGGATGTACCTGGGGAAATATTAAACGGGTCCAGAGTCAATGTGGGGTCGTGTAAGCCCGGTGCAAACGTGACTTAGCATCATGTCATCATACCCCGCACAAGCATCAGGCCACTGAGCAAGTTTTTCGCAGCCTGCAGGACAAAACATGACCACTCCATCCACCACCAGTTAGGAGTCTCAAACCTGTTGCCCACCCCTATTTGCTAACTCAGTTATCTCCCGCCTCTCCCTCCCGCCCGGTCCCAGTCCCGATCCCCTTCCCCCCCCCCCCCACCACCCCGAATCAATGCGCCGGGATGCCCAGCAGGCGGCGCACCGTCCTTGCCCACGCCTCGCCGAGGAGCGGGGCGAGCCCCGGCGGCGCAGGCGCGGTGCTCGAGGCGGACGGATCCGGGACCGGGCTCCGTTTCCTTTCACCAGGCCCTGCGAGCTCCCGTCCAACTGAGTCCGAGAGGGAGCGGGGTGGGGGAGAGAGCGAGCCCCGCACCGACCGCTCCGCCTCCCTCCCCCGGGATCGCGCAGGGCCTCCCCGCTCCCTCCAGGCCGGTAGTGGGCTGAACCGCCTCCTTCCCGTGCCCCTCTGCGCTGCTCCCGGCGCTCTCCGAATCCCCAGAGCTGCGGCGTTCCGGGATCGAACGCTCGACGCGTTCCAAGGAAGCCGGCAGCGTTCGAAATTGGAATCCTCCTGTCGGCCGCTGCTACATTGTTTCCTCTTCCCCACCCCCTCTCCCCGATCCCTCTTTCCCCCGGCCCCACTGCGATCCGAACACCCACCCTGACCCCACCCCTTTGTACCTCTCCCGCTTCCCCTCACCTCCGTCCCCGGCCCAGCAGCGCCCGGGGAGCCCCCCCGCCGCATGGAATATCCGGCAGCTGGCTGAGCCCCACGCTGAGAAGCCGGCTTCCCGACGGGGAAGCGGAGCCGGAGGCAGCTCGGAGCCTGCAGAGAGGTGAGTACCCGAGACCCCCACCACTCTCACACTTTGGGGAGGGATGGGAGTGGTTACTACAGGGACCGAGGCTGCACCCTCCCCCTCTCTGTTCCACAGCCCCCCAGGCTGCACCTAGGTGGATGTACCCCAGGATCATAGTTTCCCCCAGCTTCCATTCCTCTGGTGGGTCTGAATAATCCTGGGAACTCTTGTCACTCAGGGTGCACCCCATGCTCAGATGTGATTGTAGTCCTGTCGTCTGACTCCAGCCCAGCCATATAGTGAGCCATCAGGGACTTTGCAGGAGGCCTGTAACCCCTGTGCAGGCACAGATGGACGATTTCCTTGCCATGCCTCCTGGAGTGATCTGCCTGGGGCAGTATCCACTGTGGCACCTAGACCCAGTTTGTCACCGGTTGCGGAATGGGGAGGTAGGGAGAGAAATGACTTTTCAGATTGAATGTGGATCTTTGGAGGGCTTCAGTCACTCTCCCATTTGGACTAGGCCTGTGATCTCTTCCCCTCCTTCCCAAAATAAAATCTCCTTTCTTCCCATAATCAGACCAAGGTGTGTTTGCATAGGTGATTTCTGCATGAATAAGATGTATCCATTTGTTACCCCAGTACATTGGGTTTGGAAATCTGTTGTGGCTGGCAGCTTGTGGCTGAAGTGGATTTGAATGGTTGGATTATCAGTTTACTCCTCCCTCCCAAACAAATGGAGGGTCAAACTGCAAGTTTCCTCTGCAGCCCTAGGAGGCTTCTAACTGCACGGGTGGGAAGGGAGAGATTCGCTGGATAAAACCTTGACCCTTCCACGGCGGCCCATCCCTGTCTGTAGCTGCTCAGGGCGACAATCCTGCGCTCGGTTCTCACAGCCATTCTGGCAGTGCCCGAGATGACAGCAGCTGAGACAATGGGGACTCTCTCCTCCCCACACTGACCGTTTCTTCTTTCCTATGGTGAGCCTGGGAGCCCAGAGAATGGGGTTGCATATGCAGAGCTCATTCTAACCCAAGATTCATGTGCACAGGGCTGTGGTTGGGGATCCGGGGCCCCTAGGCTGGTTTGATTCCATTCACTGAGGTTTCTCTAAGCCCAAGGATCAAGGGCCCTAGAACTCCTGGCTCTGTTGAAATACATGTTGACTCAGTATGAATGGTAGGCTGCTGCTGTCACCTAATGTCCGTTTCCTTGTAGACAGCACTGCTACAGTGCTCACCAGTCTTAGCCTTTCGGAGCCACATGGTGGAAACCAACAAAGGTATTGAATGCGGAGAGTTTGGGGTTTTTCTCGCCCCCCTCTCTGCCCCCAGAACAATAAGCGAGTCATATTGTTGCAAACTGAGCGGTCTGTCTGTAGGACAAGCAGCGGGTCTGTGTTATTGCTCTCTCCCATCGCAGAGCAATCCCCTAACAGCCATTATTGTATGTCACCCTGATGGGCGAGCACAGCAGTGCTGCCTTTGCTGATGCTCTGAGCATAGGTTTCATGGGACTCGAGGTATGATGAGATTTCTTCAAATATCTAGTGTTATTTAACTTGCATTGGTGGTGAGTGGAAGGCAGACTTGATTGAGGTATTTAAGGTTATGAAAGGGCCGGTGAAAACTTTAATATCACATTACAAAATGGGTACAAGGGGCGCTGAGAGCGATGGCCGAGTGAATTGAGAATACATAAAAGGAACTGTTTCCTCGCACAGTGGAGTCGGCCAATGGAATTTGAGGCTGTCAGTGGGAGATCAAAAAGCCAAATGGCGTGGTTGGGATTCAAACCAGTCTGGATAGTTGTCTGGCCATTTATCATTGGGAGTTCTGCCTGGTAATAGAACAGGAATCAAATCTCATGCTCCAGGGCATAAACTGGTTACTTCAGGGGTCAGGAAGGAATTTTTCCTTGCTCCACACATATACACAGTTGCACTTGTAGCTGTGTTCCTCAAGAGGGGCTCCCCAGAAGCATGTTGTATGCTGCAGGCAGGATACCAGACTCAGTGGAACCGGTGTTTAGATTCAGCATGTTCCTCTTGTCACATTTTTCCATCATTAACTCTGTTTGTGGAAGGCTTATCTCTTGGCTCATTCAAATTATATTGGGATGGAGCTTTGGTATATGGATTTTTGACCCCAGTGCAGGGTTACTTGTTTTGATTCAATAGTCTCTTTGTTGTCTCTTAGGCATCTTGCGATGGTCCCAGGCCTGCAGTTGGATCCACGTGAGTGGATCCTTCCACCTGTGCAGACCCCACTCAGGACAGGAATCAGGGACCCTACAGAAGTCAGCAGGACCCCACTCAGATGCATGTGTGTGTCCATGCAGCTCCGACTGCAGGATCACAACCACAGGCCTCCTGTGGTTGTATAGTACATCTGTGGCCCACCTGTTCAGAGCCTTTGAGTGCTATAGAACCTTTCTGCAAGTGTTCATTGCTCTCAAGTGTGTAACGGGATAGGATGCTGAAGGAACTAATTGAATATAATTAAGATCGGTTTTGCCATTGGCTGTTCTTTTCCCTGAATTTAAAAAAGAAGACACTTGATCTGTAAAATTGTTGAGCAGCTGAAAGAGAGAGAAAGGACTAGATGGCGTGAGTCCAATTCCGAGGGGCAGGTGCAAAATCGCTCACTGCTGCCCCCATTGTTGGGTTAAACACCGAGCAGCTGTACTTGAACGGCGGGGGGAGGGTGTTGCTTCTCTTTCCTGGATGTTGATTGGCCAGTCTTGGGATAGAAAGGACAAAGGACACTGTCCCATGGGATTGTGGGATAGTGTTGGCGGGTTCTCAGGACCTGAGTCTGGGGTGCGGGGGCTGGGCTTGAGCTGCGTTCACACTGCAAAACGATGGAGTATGAACCCAAGCTGCCCCAGGACTCAAGCTCAAACCCTCCACCCCTTCAAGGTGCTGAGACCCAGGCCTGAATCAGACAGAAATGCCTGTAGACAGAAGGGGGGTTTGAGCTTGAGCCTGAATGTGAGCAGGGGCTTATATTGCAGAGTAGATGGACCCTAAACAGTGAAAGATCAAATGGGCCACAGAGCCGGATCACGCCCCTAAAGAAGCAGCGGGAAGGCATGTTGGTGGGGTTGCACAGGGGAAGCTTGCATTGCTGCCTATTCTGCAGATGAATAGAGGCCTTTGGTGGCTGCTAATTCAGTGTCTGACTTGGACAGAGCGGCACCCGCTTACCCCAGGGCTGAATTGGAGTCTGCGTATGAATCCTATTCATTTCATGGGGCGTGCTTCCCTGTGCAATCACTGCACAAGAATGCTTTGTGTATGGTCGGAGGCAGTGTCTATTCTGGCCTTTCCCTCAGAAGTTTCCCACTGGTTCAGCTCCCCCAACCTATAGCAGTGCTGGGAGCACTAGCAGAGACCTGGCTGCAACTGGCCACCATTGTCTAATTACAGGAGCATTTTGCCTGGAACTAGTCATAGCAGGTGTAGGTGGGTAAAACTCCAGCGGATGCCTTGTCTATGCTAGCGCTTCTACAGTTACTGACTCTTGGGCAGTTCTGCTGATGGTAGGAAGCTTCGCTGGAAAAATGTAGTTTAAACAGTGGGAGATGGTGGATGCTTTTCTAACCTGTGTCAACTGTCAGGCATACTGTGCTCCCGCTTTGGGAGGTTGACTTGCTGGCCTAGCACACAAGAGTCCTGGTTACTGTTAAGCTGGAAATAAAGGAAAATTAAACAAAAAACCTGTTCGGAACTTGATGGGTTACCTAACTGTATAAAACAGAGCCACTCCTGCTGCGATCTGCCTCTGTTGTATTGCGGATCGGGATAGTGTTTGGCAGAGCTAGAGATCATGTATGAGCTGCAATTCCCAGGGTGAGTTAAAGGTGCAGTTTCAGTTCTGTGTCCTGGCTTTTGTAGCTTTGTGTTTGTTTGTTTTTTTTAAGTTCTAAACCTCAAGGTTGGTCTGTGTCCTACCGTTTGCGCTTTCACTTAACTAAATAATGAATTTATGCTAAACCATTGACACTTCAGCTTTTAAACTGATTTAAGAGTGCGCACACTAAGGGTTAATCCAAGTTGTTAAACTAGCACGCAAACTGTGTGTAAACCAGTCCTAAAGAACTGGGGACATGACGACCACCTACAAATATCCGAGGTGGAGGAATTGGAGTGGTACATGGAGGGAAGCGTAGGGCATTATGCCCTGGGTTTGTGTGGTTAAACTGGTGCTAAGCCCTAATGTAGAGACAGAGTGAAAAATGTGGCTGTGCAGGTGCAATTTATTCCAGTGTGCTTCTAGATTAAGGTGGAGGGGCATCCACACTGGTCATGTTACTCTGGTGCAAACATCCGAACAGTACAAGGAGGACCTAAAACCAGATTTCAGATGTTTCAGGTCCTCCACCTGTCCCTGAGTGCAGATTTTTGTGGTTTTACAATAACATTTTTAAAAATGTTTCTTCTCACACTAGTTGGTTTGTGAAAGGCCCTCCCAAGCTGATTAAATAGGAGAGAAGCATTGAAACTGGCTATATACCCAAAGTGCTGTTAA